TGTTTTTTTTTTCTTTAAGTTCTTAAATTAAGGAGAAATATTTATTTCTATAGTAGTTCAGATCCACTGTATTGCTTCTCAGCAGTGTCATATTTAGCTCTAGTAAGTCACAAGCATATTGAGGGCAGATAGTGGGTACAAATCTGACAGAAAGCTAATGAGCTCTCCTGTGATTATCAGTAAGGACTATGACTCATTAAATCTCATTTCCTCAGAAAGTCCACATAGGGAGAAGAAATTATCTGGAATAAAGGCCTGAAAACCTAATTCAATCAGATTTATAGGTGTTCTTGTAGTCGCTACATAATAATGAAAAATAATAATGTGAAAACAGGGAAACCTTTTAATGAGATCTTTTGAAATGGTTAATGTTTCAGGGAGGGGGGTCTGCTTCACTTGCATTGAAGATACAGGCAAAATAGCTGCCCATCTCCCACACTGAACAGATTGATGTGTGTTGTGGGTTTTTTTCACTTGTCATTCTAGCAGTGTGATTACAGCTGATATAATAAATAGACACTTATGTACAGTATGACTTTCATTCAGAGTTGTGCTTAAAAATGAACCTGGCTTGTCTGGTTTGGATAGGTTGTGATTGCCTTGATACAGAGTTTTCTTCTTGTGATGCATGTCTGTTTGTGGTATGGTTTTCATATATTATTTAGAGAGGAAATGTCTCTCCCCTGTTTCAGTGAAGGAAAACTTCCACTGATTTTAATGAGCTTCGGCTCACCTTCTAATAGAGTAGCATTACAAGAAGTTTTTGTTTTAACAGTTTTATATTTCTGTGGAGATATATGGACACAATCTCACATTATGTTGCATTCTAACAATATGTGGATAGTGGCAGTTAGTGTAGTCTCACAGTGCAGTAAGGAGAGACCTGTCCTTGTCTGACAGACAACTGAGGACCATAGGGCAGTTGTTCACATTTGTAACTCACAGAGTGGGATGTGAAGACTTCAGCAATTAAGCTGGCTTGCCACTGTAACTGTGCTGCTCTTGCTGTTGGGAAGGACCTCACACTGACTGCTACAAGCTCTGGTTTTGAACTGTTTAAATTATGGATGTGTCCCTTGGATTGGGCCAAGCTGGCCACTTAGAAGCTCAGTTTTCTGTTATCATGTTTTGTAATTCCAGCTTCTTCCAGCATCTCTTTTGCACTCTATTTGTGACGAGCTTTCTCTTCTTTTCCCCTATGACAAGGCAATAATGTTGCCACTGAAGTTAATGAGGACTTACGTGAGCATTGCAGAATAGTAGGAATAATGCATGGATTGATTTTTTTCAATTTCTTTTGTATTTTCCCCCTGTTCTCACTGCACACGACCTGCAGGGGGGACACAGGGCCGCTTGCCGGCAGCTTGACTGCTGCTCCTGGTTCTTTGCAGGCACCTGAACTTACTGAGGATTTCAGCTTGAAATGTCTCCATAGGAGGACAAAATGCAGCAGGTTGAGTTTTATATTCTGAGGGGGGGAGGGGGTATGAGATTAGGGCTGTTTGTGACAATTTTGGTTGGTTTTACTTGTTTTTTTTTTTCCCTTGTGTGTTTTGTGCATCTCTGGGGGATGTAGGATGGGGTTTTGGGGCTTGTTACCTTTTTTATTTTTTTTTCAATTAGGTATCTGAACCTGCTAGGTCAGTATGAAAGCACTCATTTACAGAAAACTGCAGTGTACTGGGATCTTTGACAGCTATAGAACTTCATTATATATAAAAGTGTATTAAAATACCTATCCACATATGAGTTGGGAAAGCACTCGCTTCAGATACATGAACTGTGCTAGGCCATGTTATGTGCTCTATATGAAGAGGAATCAGAATTTCTAACAATTGAAATAGCATATATTAGCTTTCTGTGGTACTGTGGTTGATGATCTGGTTGATTCTGCTGGCACTAAATGATCTCAGAACAGGGAGATAAAAGTGATGTGATTATTAAAATAACAAACAGGAATGTATAGTTTAGTTTGATCTCACAAGGTGGGATCAGAAAGGAGCCCAAGTTCAGCATCCGGGGAATGAGAACATAAATGCATTTCTGAACACCTTGGAGTTTCTTTCAGTGTTTCTATCTGAGCTTTAAGGTTTATAAAACTCTTTATTTCATCACTTTAAATCCAGCCCTCCTGGTATGAGAACTAGGGATATTGATGTTTTATCCAAATGCAGTTTGAAGTACATAGAATAAAAATAAATGTGGGACATGCTCTTCCTGTGGACATGTCAGCAGCTGTATGCTTGGAACTTACTAGTAGAAGAAAAGTGATCTCTGAACATACACATCAAGGCAAAAAAAGCCTTTGCTGCGGCAGTTGTTACTTGCCTTTGATGCTAAAAGTTAGTCCAGCTTCACCAGCTTTAGCAGAGCCAGACTGGGTGTCCATGTCTGGGCAGCTTGCAGTGTGTGAGTGGCTGTGCCCTACCTCCTCTGAAGGTGAGGCAGCAGGATCTCTTGATGAGTTGGTTCAGGCCCTTTCTCTGCCATTTATTCTACAGTCCTCCAGACAAATTGCCAAAGAGTTTGGGTTTGGTTGAAGGGGTGTTTACCTCCGTCTTAGCTGATGCTCAGTTCCAGCCAGCACATTGCATGTCATCTGTAGGATGTACTAGTCGGGAATTAAATCAAAACCGCAGAAAAATATGCTGCACTTTATAACTTGAAAAAGCATTTATTAATGTGGATATATGAGGTGGAAGTTAGGGAGGAGCAGTTTGTGCTATGAATCACACTTTTCTGTTTGGGGTAGGAAAGTTATTTAGATGTTCTGCGTGCTTGTCAATATAATGTGCTTCAGGAGTGTTTTATAATGACAAAAAGAGTCATGTGCAAGACAAAAATAAGAAGCACAATTAATTCTTACTCTGCTGAGAAGTGCAGCCAAATTAAAAGAGGAGTTGGAGAAGTGTAAATATTCCTCTGGTAATATATCCAGAATGATGCTTCCCTGTATTAGTCAAAAAGAGCCATTTTTTTTTACTCTATTGTAGGAAAGACTTGGGAACGCTGCTAGCGAGTAAGTTCCCTTGTCTAGCAGATGTGAAAATCTGCAGCTTTATATGATATTTTCAGTTAAAAATGAGTGAAGGATAGAAAAGGTCAAAGACTTAATTTGAGATTTTTGCTGGTTTGCTGGTGGGGTTGTCGCTTTTTACATTGGAGATTGAAGCTTAATATCTGAAAGACTAAAATTATAAAGCAATACAAAGAAATCATGTTGGGTCACTCAGAAAGATGATTTAGGCTGCAGTATTGCAACTTCAGTGTTTCTTTTTAAAACCTACTCATTTCTTAGTCTAATCTCTCCAGGGATATGTGGATTATCTTGATTTTTCTATCTTACTACTACTGGACAGCCTGTTGTCCAAGAGCCTCAAAGATGTTACTAGTACTTGGGGGTAAGAGGGGGAAATGTATAGTATCGTATTAGTGAACAAAAGGCTCTTGTGGGTCTGTTCTCTGTGATAATACTCTGAAGGCCTCTTTGGGCTGTTTTGAAGTGCTTGGAAACCACAGTGATGAGAACTGTATTAATGCCTGGATAAGTTGATTAGTTATGTGACGTGCATAACTCCATTTAATACACGCATCAAACTGAAACTAGACTCCTTAAGGCTAATTCACTGCCTCATTAGGAGCCAGTGAAATTCCTGCAACAGTGTGTTTAGATGTGCTGGCACTCTATTTCTGTGGAAAATGTAGAATTTAAAGGAAGGGCTGGAAAAGTGGCCTACAAGAGAGCAATCCAAAGGTGACAGAAGCATGGACTGATGTCAGCCATGTGGAAGCATGGTATTGGCCAAAGGCTGAAAAACATGTGATGAAGGGGAAGGGGCTTTGATATATTAATGGTAGTAAATCATAATCAATTTATGTACTATCTACAATTTATATTCACTTGGATAAGCTTGAAATCCACCAGATTAACATGTCAAAAGCACACACTGTATATTTGTTCCACCTAATCCCCACTGGTAGTTCAGGCTCTTCAGAAGGGATAAATCAGGAGCAAAGTAACCCCATCAGGTTACTCAATTACTAGCTCAAAACTATTCTTAAGCTAAAAATGGGACATCCTGCACATCAGTCAGTCTACCTGTCATTTTTTGCACCCTGTCACGGTGCAAGTGGACTGGCATTTTGGCAAAGTGATAATAAAATTAACAAGGTCCATTTCAAGTCAAAAGCTAGAACTCTGTTTTGGGGCTCCATTATCTTCCTAAGGGTCTAATGAGGAGGGACAGGCAATTATTATTATTTATTTCGCTAATAAGATGGATAATCATTTCTTGTGAAACTTCTATGTGTTAGAAATGTGTTCCTTGTACACTTTGTTTAGCGCAGTTGCCTTTTTATCAGACTGAACTGTTGTGTGACATCTTTTATTAGCAGGGCAGTAGGAGGGCACTTGGAGAAAGAAGGCGGGGGGGAAAGGTGATTTTTGATCTGTGAAGATAATGCAACAAGAAGCAACAGTCCATAAAAACATCACCTTTCAGTCTCTGAAGACATAATGCTTTATGATAACCATAAAACATTTTAGTGCAAAATAAATTGCTGTCCTATTCAAATCCTTAAATGTACTACAGTGGATGTCACTGAAGACATACAGCTATTTTTTGCAATACTGAGATATATTTTATCATAATTTGTGGTGTAGGTGACAACCTTGCACACGATTGCCTTTTCTTGCTTAGTTAGCTTGCCAAGGTCAGAGTCCTTTGGCCTTTTATGGGTGTAGAACTATTAGGAAATAAACAGGATCACCAGGTAGCATCAAAAGGAAACTTGTTTCCTTGACTTGTCATATACCCTTTAAAGATTTGATAATGTTCTGAGTATGCACTTACTGATAATGACTTCTTTATACATGCTTTAACAGATTCTTCTCACTTGTAAAATGTACAGGTGATTTTTTTCTCATTTTCTTCTCTTTTTCACTTTCTTTTTAAATTTAGTTTCATTTTGTTGTTTTGATTTTGTTTCCAGCTAATTAGTTAACAGCATATTGGCTTTGGAGCTGCTGTGAGGAGAACAATGGATGGCAGTTAATGGAAAACACTGCAGTTACAATTCAGCTTAGAAGTCCTGAGCCAGGTAAGCGCCTCAATTTCCCTAGAGTTGAACTCTTCAGATGTCATTTCATGTTGTGCCACTGGTGAGGCCTTTGGAATGGGCATTCTCAAGGTGTTTCTGGAATTTCATGTTCATTTTTTGCATCAAAACTGTGGAGAGGAGGTTTTATTCTACAATGTTTTTGTGGTCTTTCTGTTGCTCATCATACCAAAGTAGAACATCATGGGAAGGGTATAAGAAAATGCTAATAATGGTGGCTTATTTGGCAACATTATGTAGGAGATACTCCCCCACTCCATGGATGTATTTGCCTGGGCTGATTTGTTTAAATTTGCTATAAAATAAGATAGATTGAGTGGAATGGGGGAAAAAAAAAGGTTGATAAAATCCACATGGAACCATGGAAATGTGTTGACCTGATTGGTGACATTTATATAAATCCTGTACAAGTGTGAAGAAAAATAAGTTTAAAATGCATTTTATATGTTTGCCTTTCAAATACATTGAAGTTTTTGAAACAGAAAATTGGTCACAATAAAACTTTACCCTCTATCTGGAGTTGTTGGGATGAAACTGTGCCTTAAAGGAAGCCAGTGGTGTTTTTAATGTAATTAAGAATTCAGCCATGAGTGTTCATTTATATGTGGATTGGTGGTGATACTGTATTAGAAAACGAGGATTTTGTCGTTCTGTTGTGGAAAACCGAAAACCCTTCAGGCTGTGGTCAGTGCATAAAGGTTGCTAGCATTCAACAGTTTGCCAAATACCCTTAAAGGACAGATGTCAAATTGCCTGGTGGTTTGCTTCAGAAAACCTTTTCTCAGATAAAGGGTCCCATTTCAAATGATCAGAACTCCATATGGATTTGAGGATTTGGAAGAGCAATATTTGGGTTTGTAGAGCCAGCTCCTGTGAAACTCTTGGCAGGATGAGAATTTCCACTCTTTGTTAACTGTCACCTCCAATCATATGCGTTTAAAAATGGCTCATGAGAGGTTTTTAATTATTTACTGTGTTACCAATATGGTAAAGGTTGTACATGAGAAATAACCATCTCTTTTATACCAGTTACAGGCTACAAGCAACTTTTTAGCCTTTTTGAGTCTCAAGAGTATATTACAGCATTTAGAATGTATAGATCACTTATTAAACTATTTAGAAATGGGCGATTAATATAACAGTTTTTGCATATTTGTAGCAATAGAACAAGAGGTAATGGGTTTAAATTAAAATAGGGGAAGTTCTGTACTGTGAGGGTGGTGGGCACTGGAATGGGTTGCCCAAAGAAGTGGTAAATGCTCCATCCCTGACAGTGTTCAAGGCTAGGTTGGACAGAGCTTTGGGTGACATGGTCTAGTGTGAGGTGTCCCTGCCCATGGCAGGGAGGTTTGAACTAGATGATCTTAAGGTAAACAGGGGAAGTTTAGATTGGATATAAGAAGGAAATTCTTTCCTGTTATGGTGGTCGGGCACTGGAATGGGTTGCCCAGGGAGGTTGTGAATGCTCCATCCCTGGTAGTGTTCACGGCCAGGTTGGATGAGGCCTTGGGTGATATTTAGCGTAAGGTGTCCCTGCCCATGGCAGGGGGGTTGGAACTAGATGATCTTAAAATCCTTTCCAACACTAACGATTCTATGATTCTATGATTAAGGTCTTTTCCAACCCTAACTATTCTATGGTTCTATAACATGACTTTTTTTATGTGCACATCATATGATTGGCAACCCATACCATGTAAGAAAATAGCTACCCAGGGAGACTGGCATATTGGGGCTTTTATTCTCACTTTTTTAATGTTTCTCCAGTTGTTGCTCATTGCTTGTTGGCAGTTTATTTTAGATTTTACAAATAATAAAAGCAGCAGCAGTAGGAGTGTTTAGCTTTTGGATTCAACAGACACATATATTTTAATTTAAATGACAATATCTAGCAACAAAATTGCTTCATTTTAACTTCACTGCATTTCTTAATCTGTTGGAACTATAATTTAAAAATAATGAATTAAACAGGGTGAATATATGGCTTCCATTAATTCCAAATACTGCTTATTTTCAGCACTTTTTAATTATTTGAATATACTTCTCAATATATTTAACTGGAGTGGAAAAATCATTCAAACCTCAGTCCATTTACAATTACCAGTGTATCTTTAACTTTCCAAATTACTGAACTACAGACTATCATTTTGAGTACCTGTTTTTCCTGTGTGTTAAAAGCCACTGCAATAGTTGAGAAAAATGTTTGGAAAGATGCAGGTTTCACAAACAGTGAGCATCACTGAATGTCTGTTAATAATCACAGGTTCTGCTTGGAAGTTGTGTTAAAAGGCTGACTGAAACACAGGGACATTAATGTTGGTACTGGGAATCTGTGCTGTGTCTTGCATCCTTCTATTACCTTAAGATGGCACTTTTCCAAGAAGCAGGAGCCCACAGGCTGTGAGGATTTTTTGATCACCAAGAACCTTTAGTTTTAATGTACATTGTATGTGCAGGCACAGAAGGAGATACAAGGCCAAGGCCTCGCATTATGTAAACTTGTTACCTGCTTTGTGGATCTGGTTTTGAAGTTTTGTCTTCTCCTCATAGAACGTTATTTTCTTCTGACTGTAGGGACTAACCACTGAGTTCTTTCCTTGTTTTTAAGGTAATATCTTACCAAATTTCATACTGGCATGGACTGGTGACAGAAATCATACACCTGTTTGTATTATGAGGCTTATAGATACTGATGTGAAATCTTTCCCACCTTTTCCTGACTGTACCCGAAGTCAATTAATAAGTAGCTGTGTATGACTTAAAGTGGCATTTCGTTCTGATAATAGGACTCCATGATGTAGTGAGAATTTTGGAGTACATGATCTGTATCCCATGGCAGCAGTTTCCCTGCCTTGTAATAACCTGAAACCGAGCATGAAGACTGACAGAGAAACAGACAAATATATTAATGTTTTTTTGTTCTGGCATTCTTGTGCACTTATGTTCAAATAGACCTGGACATTGTGAATAACTAGTTCAGGCATTACAGTGTGTTGGATAATAAGCATTTGCACATTTTCCTTGCTGATTAGAAAGAAAAAATGAAACTAGATATCCAGTTGATTCAGTTATTCTGGCCTGGGTTTACAGCGTGAACAGGGCTTTTCTAATCTTAGATTGTGATCCTTCAGTAGAAATCAAAAGACCAGTTAAAGAACAGATGCCAGTGATGGCATCTGTTGTTTTCTCAGGAGACTAAAATTAACTAACTTCTTAAGAGCTCACGGAACCTGATACTGCCTGTGGCAGGGCAGTGTGGATCTGTAATGTGCTTTGACATCAACTTAGTTAGCTTGCTCATGTTTTGCTTGCCACAGTTGTAGGTAGTGAGAGAAAGTAAGCTTTGGACCAAAGTCTTACTGCTCAAAGCTCAGGAAGCTATGTGGTTGTTTTTCTTTGCTGCTGTGCCATCTGAGCAAATCTTGTCAGCATGGGAAGGGTAATGAGAGCTAAGAAAAGAGAAATTGCCTTGTGAGGATGTTTCAAGAGCTACTCCCTGTAACTGACAGGTCTTTACTGTTGAATTCCTTCACTGACTCCAAGGTTAGTTTTCATAGTGTTCTTCAAGGTGCTGTGCACTCTGCCTTCTTTAGCATTTGCATGTAAACTCTTTACTTTTCTCTTGTAATGCCTCTGAAGTTGCCACATCAGCTCTTCTTTGTGTTTACTTCTTTATACAGGTGATAGGTTTTATTTTTTTGTTTGGTTTGGGGGTTTTGTGGTTTTTTTTTTCCTCTTTTTTGTGCCAGATTGCTGGTTTCTGTCCATCAGTCACTCCGATATAGGAATCGTGTTTGCACTGTTAATCTCTCACAAAAACTCTACCCCAAGAGAAGCATTAGCTGGTATTTTATTCCAGACTCTCTCTTCCTGTTGTTGCAAGTCCATGATTCATCTCTAAACAAGTGTCACTGTCACTGAGTAGTTGGTAAGGCCTAAGCAATGACAGTGGGTCAAGTCCTAAACTCTTTGCTCAGTTTCTATTCCAGGTACTGTGAAAATTTTCCAATTCAGAGTTTAAAAATAAATCATGAAAGAAAATGGCATGTGTACATAAAGAAACACGTTACACTGGGGGCTCGTTCACCTGGAGGATGCCTGCCCAAAATAACCTCCCAGAGAGAATAAACACTAATCTTTGATCTGCAGTATGCCACAGTTTTCCCTTTAGTGTTCCCCATGCTCCACTATGGGCAACTGGTATGTGGGATATGTGGTGTGGTTCTCTGGCTCTCTTTTCTGGGAGCTGTCAAAATTTCTAAGGTGACAAGAAGGCTGCAGTAGTTCAGATCAGTGCGTAGCCATGCTCAGAAAGCTCAGCCTGTGTCCAGTTGAAACAGCCAGGAGCCAAAACAATTTACTCAGATGGTCATAAGTGGTTACTGAGCAATCACTCCAGCTGAAGATCATAGGTGTAAAATTAGAAGCACTGGCATTGTCAGAAGCTTGTGCAGGTAAAAATTCTTCATTTGTATGGAATCTTCTTATCTGATAAAAATGAAGCAGGCCAGTTACTGAGATTTTGCCTTCAATGTCTTCAAAGCATTCCAGCCAATTTACAGGCAAGGAGGTGCCTTTTTGCAGGCTCAGGGCCTCAAAGCTGAGGAACTCAATAAATAAGAAATGTGTGTAACTGTAAATAGAGCACCTCTCCTTAATCATTTCATTCCCTTCCACCTGCTTCCAAAGAATAAAGTTTCAGGCAAAAATCCCACATGCCAAGTTTCATTTCTGTTCACATATTTCTAAGTGAATTGCTACTCCCCCCTGCCCCTCCCAACAGGAGTTCACAGAAGTGCAGCCAGACCTTATTATTCTGTTTATGATAGGATGGTCTATTCCAGGACGATGCAGTCCATAGTAAATCTATCTGCAGAATTAATTCTGGGCTTGGGAGAAAGAAATGCAAGTAAAAGCTATAATGATTTACAGTTTGAAGACACAGCTGATCTGAACATAAACATTGAATCAGTTTCTTCTCT